CCCCCCCCCCCCCCCCCTAAGTGAATAAATACACACGCATGCAAGAAAACGAAAAAAAGGAAAAGAAAGGAGAAGAGAGCCTTAAGAACTACTCCATACATAGTACCGGCTAAGCGTGAGAAAAGGTGGATAGAGCTGATTGAGGAAAAAAATTAATTGATTACTCCTATTTAGAAAAGTTTAAGTTTGAGCTTTTATTTTGAAAATATGACATAACTTTACTCCTAGTTTAAGTTTGAGCTTTATTTGTAATTCAAACCGTCAAATTTAGGAACGGAACACCACAGATATCCTAATTGATAATTTAGTTACGAAGTTACAACATTTGAAATAGTATAACTCTATAATTCCTTAAGGCTGAATTACTCATTAACTCTTTCTCCCTCCATTCCAAAAAATTGCAAAACTTCACTATTCAAAAATCATGTGAACTTTTTTTTATTTTCACGTTTTCATTAATTATTTGAAAAAATAAAATATTTTTTTCACCTATTTGTTTGTAAAAATTTTGACGTAGTTTTTAAATATGTATATTTATTTTTTATTTCTTTATCAATCTTTAAATAAAATAAATTCAAAAAATTGCTTCGTTTAGCGTAATGTAGCAATCGGAGGGAGTATCATTTACATCGTATTAAATACTACCCTAGAGTACTTTCTATACATGTCCCCTTTCACTTTTTTCCTAAAATTAAGCAAACTTCGAATCTCAATTATTTAAAAATTATATTATGCATTTATATAGAAATAGTTTATTAGATTTGTTTTGTAAAAAAATTCAAAAGGATCCTCAAGGGGTGTAGATTTTGCAAACTTTATAAATTAAGCTCTGATTCCATAATTTAGATAGATTTCTGTACAAAAGAAAGTTCAAACGGATACTTTGGTAGAGGTGGAGGTATTTGACTCGTCTTGTTTTTTATTCTATTTGTTGGAAAATAAAGTTTTTTTGGCAACTTTCAAAATTATTTTTGGAAACTTCCAAAAATTATTACATTTTGTTTTCCTAAATGCCTAAAAAGTTCATTTCTTTTTTTAAGTAAATCACATGTACATCATCATTACTAGCTTCAGGTTCGGTCCTTTTCACTTAAATTCTAAAGTTAGGTGTTGGAATAAACACGAGGAAATTAGAAAATACTGGAAAGAGTTAGAAAAAAAGTAAAATGAATTGGAGACTGTTAGAAAAAATATGTTACAAAAATCACTCTGTTAAATGATCACTCAAATAATATGCATGAAAACTAATTTTGGTTTTAAAAAAATTTCATTTTTGTCCGCATTTGAGGTGTTATGTTGTAAATTTGGAGACTTGTTAGCACGAGTTTCACATTCCAAAAGAGAACGTTACCGGATTACAATGTTCCCTGTTTTACATGAATGAATTCTAAACAAAAACAAACCAAAGGAGATTGGGAGGGTACATTTTGATGAATAAGATGAACCTTACTCCTCATCCTCATCAATGCCCGGAATGTACTCAAGACTAACATCAAAGATCACTGGGCTGCTAGGAGGTATGCGTGGCCTTCCCGGAGCTGATGTCAATCCTTTCGGAAATGCCAGCTAATTAATTAAATAAATAAATAAATAAATAAATAAATAAATAAACGGAAAATAAGGTCTCCGCATAAACTGTATATGGAAAAGAAAAGAAGAAATGGAAAATCTTAACTGGTCCGGGGATGTAGAGGCGACGTTTCCCCCCAGCTTTCATGGTGAGGACCCCTTCATCTAGCCCCTTTATGACCTATTCACGGAATTCGAATAAGCCATAGCCCTTGTAATTTGTTCATTGTAGACAAAAGAAACTTAGGATCTCACCTGACCAGAGCCTACCCGGAAAATGTAAGGCTGCCCTTTCTCCAGTGAACTAAACAAATTTAAGAAAATTGTATTAGGAAGATAATTTACATAAATACTTTGCACATTTCGTGCTTCTCCATTGCGCTTTGCGCCTAAGAAGACAGATTCCTCAGGTTAGGGTGCTGAACTTCAGCATGAATGATGAATAATGCTGACGCGGAAAACAGACTGTGTTCAGTGACATATACTCACATTTCGTACTCCTCCATTGGCCTTCACGGTGCTGATGAATAATGCAGCTACCTGTTAAGATATAGACATAATGCTCAGTGTTTATTGAAATATTGCATAAAGTGCCAAATGATAAATTCTTTGGCGAGAATCCCATACTTATGGCATACTCCTACAGAAGATGGGTATTGAGCCTAAACAGCCAAACTCTGCCAACCAAAAGCATCCAGTTAGACTACTTCATATCTACTAACCAAAGAAGTCCAGCATAAGATTCATCCGTTTAAACATAGTTCAACTTTAAATAATAATCTATATAAAAAACTACTTATCCCAAAACTATGATTAAACTAAGGCAGGTCACCCAACATATGAATGAAGAGGCTATTTAGGAGAGCTCTCTAGTGGATTTCAGCATTTTGTTTCTTGTTTTCTTTTGTTCCTCAGTTTTTTTTTTTTCAAAATGATAATCTCACACACACACACACACACACACATATGGTCTACAAAATGCCAGTCTTTTTGAATTTGAACTTAATCCTTTGAATCACATATGACACAAAACTTAAATCAGTGGATAAAAAACTGTGGCCAAAGGCCAATCTTCATGAAAAACAAGTACTAGCAATTATAGGAAATGCCAACACATTCAAGTCTTTAATCAAAACATTGCACCAATATTAAATATGCATACACACAGACACACCAACTTGAGTACTACAGATATTTTCATACTATTAGCGAACATTTGAGGGTAGTTGAGGTTTAGTTCTTTAACTTCTTTTTGACAAACAGACATTTTTCATCATTCTCTTTGACATTCAGAAGCATATGCAGTATCCATCCATCAATTGCAGTGTTATATGGGAAAGCCCAAATTTTCTTTTTTAGCAGATTACTAATTTAATAATGTACAACCGAACAGAGTGTTTTCTTACCTTGTTTTGGACAAAAACACAACTTTATATTCATAACACAAAAGTTAATAGTTACTGACAAATAAACATCGGATCAGATTAGTCAAGAATCACATGAATAGTGCATCTTTGTAGGACAGGTTCCATCTTTGTTCTCAGCTTCTTTTTAGCGCTCCTCACATAGTGCATCATCTGCTCTATATTATCCCCCTGCCACTTGAGAAGATTTTCTTCCTCAAGTCTACTACGTACCTTCTTAGCAAAGTTGCAGCTGCATAAAAGATGGTTGGCTTCCTCTGGTTCAATGAAGAACATGACTACATGAGCCAGTAACATAAACGGCACCATTCAAGTTCACAGTCTAATTAAACTCGATTCATGTATAAATAATCCCAGTAATCTAAAGCTCAAAATGAAACAACCATTCAAGTATGGTCATAACGTACACTTAAAAGTAGTCACAGTTAACCCTACAGTTAATCAGACTGCCAGAAAAAACTCAAGATCTGGACTATTGGTCATTATCTTTGATATTCAGAAGCATATGCAGCAGAGTGTACTCTGGCCCTTCTCGTAAGATTGACTTCAGTAAAATTTCGCAAGTAGCATCATCAGGCAAGAATCCAAGTTTTAACATCTCATCCAAATATAATAGAGCATCACAATGCTCATTCTTTTTCAGTAACCCACGGATCAGTACATTGTATGCCACGCTATCTGGCATCACACCATTTTTCTCCATTTTCATGAGCATGCCCTTTGCATCTTCTAGCAAGCCTTCTTTGCAAAGCCCACTGATCATACTTCTGAAAATTATCATATCTGGCAGCAGACCTTTAGATGGAAGAGCATTGAACAGTCCTATTGCACTACTTGATTTTCCAACACTGAAGAGTCCATTTATGACAGTATTATAGCTAATGATATCGGGTATAGGACTTTTAGCTTCCATCATCCTCAGTAAAGAAAGAGCTTGAGGAACACGATCGTTCTTGCAGAAGCCATCCAAAATAATAGTGTAGGTGACAAGATTTGGATATTCTTGATTTTCTACCATCTTGTTAAAAAGCTTCTCGGCATCAGCATATCTCCCAGCTTGAAATAAGCCATCCAACATACTGTTGTAGGCAACAACTGTTGGCTTTAGGCCAATAGTAGGGAGTTTCTCTAACAATAGCATGGCCTTATCTAAACACCCACTCTTGCAATACCCATTTATTAGAATACCATAAGTGTGAACATCAGGGTGGCATCCCCTTTGAATCATGGTGTTTAAGAGCTCTGATGCACTGTCAATCTTTCCTTGTAAGCAGTATCCTTCCATCAAAGCATTGTACGTAACTACATCGGGATCTACACCTTGTTGAATCATTGTCTCTATGATGTTTTCAGCATAGTTGATCCATCCTTCCTTGCAAAACCCACTAACCAATATGCTGTATGTAAGGACATTGAGAGGAATTCTAGAGTCCACCATTGTTTTCAATAACTCCTTGACCTCTTCCCAACGACTCAATGTACATAGTCCATGAATTAGGGAACTGTAGGTGACAACATTAGGAGGAATGCCCTTTTCACTCATCTTGGTAAGTAAGGCAAGGGCATCATCCATCATTTTATCCTTGCACAAAGAATCAATAATGGCGTTATGCGCATATACATTTGGCTTGCAATTTCCTTTCTCCTCAAACAAATGAAGCAACTTAATAGCCTTACCAATGTGTCTTGCCTTGCAGAGGCCATCAATTAGTATTAGTAATGTGACTTCACTTAGCTCACAAAGTTTCTCATTCAGTAACTTCAGAAACAACCAACTAGCATTGTGAACCCTACCTTGGAGGAACAACCCTTTAAGTAAGGTGTTGAAGAAAACCACATTGGGTACTAAACCCAGCTTCAAGTGGTTCCCTAAGATAGCAAAACCCAAGTCCGCTCTATGCAAACGGGCAAGGGAATTGGCAGCAATGTTCAGCGTGCAATTGTCTATAACAACTCCAGATGCAAAGATATCCCTAAACAGAGAGACGGCATCACTGTAGCGGCCCATCTTTACTATAGCATCCAAGAGATGGTTGAATTGGTAAATTGGAGGACGGGGATGAATTCGGACCATGTGACAGTATACTAAAATTGCATCATCAAGCTTCTTGATACTCTTAAACCTTGATTTACTATGATGCAAGTATGATTCATGAATATTGGGCCTAACAGCAATACCATTATGAAACGCAGAGAAATGGGAGGGGAAATTGGGGAGGAAGAAAGAAAGGGTTTTACCAGGGGATAGTCCTCCAAATGCCCGATTGAAGATGTGCCCAGAAACACAGGCACAAATCTTCATCGTTTTGCTTAGCTCTCCCAAAACCCTAACATCCGAATTAGATTTCTTCTCCCTTAGCTTCCCCTTCATACCATTTATGAACTATAAAGCAAAGCAGAAGTATAGATAAAACAAGAAAAGCATGCTAACCAACAACTGAACAGGTCCTGTCACGACCTTATTCGCTCCTCACTTTTTTCTTTTTTCTTTCCGGAAAGGATGCCCGGTCAAAGATGACACTGAGCTCAGCTAAATGTTGCATTTGAAATGTTGATTGAACAATTATGAAAAAATGATAGGGGTACCCCATTTATCTCCCACTCTTTTCTTGTCCACAAAATAAGACAAAAAATTCCAAAAGAATAAATAAATAAAAATAAAATAAAAATGGGTGGTGGAGAAGTGAATGGTATACATTTGGGATACATTTTTGGTGTACCCCTAACATTACTCAACAATCATTTTTGAAAAATACTATGTGTACCCTGATTTTCCATCATCTCCGATGGAGCCAAAAATTTTACCTGTTTTTGGCTTTGGGGTGTGATGGAATAAATCAAAATGGATATCTAAAGTATTTGCGCTTCTTTAATTAATGAAGTAGCAGTTAGTCAAGCAATGTAACTTTCGACGTTGAGCCGGTCTGCGTACATACACCCTTCCCAGACCCTACTCTTGTGGAATTTAACTGGGTTGTTGTTGTTGTTGTTGTTGCTATGTGTACCCCGGATTTGTACACCGGGTGTACACCAACAACCCCCCTCCCTCCCCCTCCCTTCCTCTCCCCCACTCTTTCTCACCATGTTCATTTCTCTCTCCATTCTCAAATCTCTCTCAAGTGGCGTCCGTCTTCTTCTAGCAGACGCTCCGTTGCATTCTCTCTTCTTCAGGTGTTGTTCCCGGTCGTTGTCCATTAAAAATAGTCACCGCCACATACCATCTTTCTTCTTTATCAGCAGATTTACAACTGTCCCCTCCTTCCAGATTGCTGCCGCACGTCATCTCTCATCGTCTTCAATTCACCTAGTTTGCTGTCTACGCCATCTCTCATCGTCTTCACCCACCACTGTTGTTGTCGCTCCCCATCATCATTAGGTGATTCTTTATTTTTTTTGAATCAGTATTCTATTTTTTTGGGTTCTTTTCATTTATAGGAAAATTATTCTTTACGATCCAGGTGCATAAAATTGCGATTCAGATTTAAAGTAACGTCCATGTCAAAATCCAGATCAACCTTGAGTATGGTTGACCAGAAATTTATTACATTTTTCGTCCATATTTCACAGACATTAAATGTCTTTAGGTGATATATTTTGTCTTGGTATGATATGACTTTGAGCTTTTTCTAATGATTTTGAGCTTTACTTGTCTTGTTCAATGATGTCTTGCAGCCTGATATAGAACCCTGTCTTACTCCTTCGGCTTTTGTTCTCCATGTTTGTGACTAAATCAGGTCAAGCTTTTATGGGTCTATATGGAAATGCTCTTAGATTTATATCTAATTCAGGATTACCTTATACTTTTTAGTCGTTAGGATTCACCGAGTCTGAGTTTTTTGTATTTTTTCACTCTTTGTGTATAATTACATGTACGGAGTATTACATACCATACTAATCGATATGGACTCAAGATGCTACACATCTTTTGTGTTTGCTTCATAAACATTTTTGTTTGTGATGGTAAATAATCTTGATGGGATTGTTTTTCTAAAGGACACATGGAACTCCTAAACGTTTACAGTTTGATTTTTTAAACTAAGTACGGAATATGTTTTGGTCACACAGACAACAAGTGTCTGCAATTTATCGTAAACAGAAAATTATTGTCTATAAAACCTAAATAAAAAATTACATCTGTCAAATATACCAAATAATGCTATCATAAAGAATGTTTCACAATTACTCTTGATTGTAAAAAAGAAAAAAAATTATAATTACTTATGTTTAGGTACACAAACACTAAAAATCCATAATTCTTGATACACAGACATTTATTATTTGTGTAATTTAGATGAAAATTTCACCCTTCAAATCTACGAAACAGTACAGTACCAAGAACATTTCACAAAGTTTTCTACGTTTAAAAAAGAAAAGAAATATTACAATTAATACTGTTTAGTGACACAGACACTAAACGTCTTTATTTTCTTGAACACAGACATTTAATATTTGTGTAATTTGAATCAAAATAGCACCACCATCTCTGCCTTAATTTACTGCTCCGGTGACGCTATTAACGGCAAAGAAAGTCATTATGGAGGTCTGGGAGAAGCAAGCAATGACGAGAAAACAGTTGGCAGTGAAGGAATCGAAGAAGTTGTTCGTCGCCCTGCTCCGATCCAGATCTTGATGATGATGATGATGCCGCCCTTGGATGCTTCTGGGCGGAGATGGGGAACTCACGCAGTGCAACTTCTGGGCAGCGAAGAAGATGTGGCAGCAAAGATCGAGAATCCCATGTTCAAATTTTGTGGCGGCAAAGATGAATGGATGGTGTTATGTTGATCACTGGGGGAAAGAAAGAAAGATGGGAGATCTAGAGATGAAGAGAGAGTTGAGGGAGAAGATGGGGAAGCTATGAGAGCAAGAAAGATGGGAGATCTAAAGATGATAGAGAAAGGAGAGAAATGAGGGAGAAGACAAGGAATTTGTGCCATGGAAAGAGAAGAAAAAAGTGGGGTTAGTGAGGGAGGATGGGGGGAGGAGGGGGGAGTATATGCTGTGCAATTGGGGTTAGTGAGGGAGGAGAGGGGAGGGAGGAGGGGGGAGTATCTGCTTCTGCTTGGCACGAAGAATCAGAACTCAAGTATTCCTTTTCATCACCAGGAATGATGGACAAAACAAATTCATTTATCATTTCAACTACTTTGAGAGTTGGTGCCAATAGTGCTCTATACTCAAAAAAAGAATAATTTTTTAAATTCTCAAACATACGTCATTTCCCAATATAAGACTTAAACTTTTTCAAAATTTTCATTTTTCATTTTTCAAATTTTTCATTTTTCATTTTTAAAAATTTTTCCCAATATCATTTTTCAAAATTTTCATTTTTCATATTTGCACTAAATAACACTAAAACAAAAGTCGTTTTCCAATATAAGACTTAAATTTTTTCTCTCTTAAATAATACTTAATAATGTCTAGAATGAGAAATAATATCCTGTGACAATGAACATTTATCTAAATAATGACTAATGAATAATGACTAAAAGTGTTACATTGGGAAATAAAAAACATATGTTGCTATTTAGGGAAAGTCATTAGCTGATCTCGTCCATGTATCGTCAACATGATTTTCCATAGCCCCAATTGAAATTGGAAAATAGGATTCTCCTACCACTAATCCTTTTAAAAAAAGGCTGAAGTTGAATTAACAATTCTCCGCTAATTTATTGCATAATTAATTCTGAATACCTATGTATTGAAATGGAAAATGAAAATGGGTGGTGGATGTCACATTTCAACTCATTATATATCTCTTTTTATAATATGATTTTGACCCAAGTATATAAGAGTTTCCATAAATTTGGATATAAAAGTGAGCAATTTAACTCATTGCTAGTTACATAAATAAGTAAGGAATTCAAAATAATATTGGGTCCATCCTAGAAATATTGAATTCGTTACTAAAAATAAATGAATCTAGAATAATATTATAGATTATCAAAGATACATAATTAACGATTGCCATATATAAGTAAAGGGATCCAAAATAATATTAGTCTTATCCAACATACATAATATAAGTAAGGTGATGAATAATATACTCGTGATCATAATTTTCAAATTTAGTACTATTTAGGATTGTTTCTTAAAAATATTTTTCATAAATTTTGTTAATCACCATATGTTAAGGAAATAATCTATTCTTGGAAATCATATTATACCATTCATAGCTATGCATGAATCATTTTCTAACGCACGACCCTATTAGGATAGTTTCACATTTAATTATTTACTTACCTTTTGTATTTTAGGAAGGACTTTATTATGGTGAGAATATCTTGGTAAAGGATTAATATATGTAGCATGGTCCTAAAATTCTATTTAAATGAATTAAAAATATTATATTCTTTTTAAATAGTATTTATATTTCTTCATATTTATTTTTAATTTTTTATATTATCATCGTAAGTGGAGTTTGTATTGTTGTAATCTGAAAACATATATTAACATATAATATTATTGATTAACCAAGACACATAATTAAGGATTTCCATATATAAGTAAACGGATCCAAAACAATATTAGCATTATCCAACATACATAATATAAGTAAGGTGAAGAGTAATATACTCGTGATCATCATTTTCAAATTTAATATTATTTAGGATTGTTTCTTAATAATCTTTTTTGTAAAAAAATAATATTCTAATTTCCATTAATATAGGTACTCTATTGATTTTAACTCTTATTATACACGAATTTCCACAATAAACATTTGTAACTTATTAATTTAAGTATGTAATTTTTAAATATGGAAGTGAGATGAAGGATTAATATAAGTAACATGGTCCTAAAATTCTATTTAAATTAATTGAAAAATATTATATTTATTTTTTAAATAGTATTTATATTTTTTCATATTTATTTTTATTATTTTATATTATCATCATAATATGAGTTCGTATTGTTTTTATCTGAAAGAAAGAATTTTGTTGAGGACCAGTGATTATCTCGTAGAAAATCTGCGGTCAATTGTTTTCAACGGGAGATCCGCTGGTGCATCGTATATAATTTATTTTTGTTGGTCTACTCATATATTACATGACATGCTGACATGTTTAAATTTTGCCACATAGACATGCCAAATGTCGAATTTCTGTTCATCCAAGTCTCCTTTATTATATTAAAGGATTTGCTCTCTTTCAATATTTCACATTTTTTACTCTTTTTTCAAAAATGATATGAGTAATTAATTATTTTGAAACCATGAATTAAAATTTAGAACTAAAATTATTTTCTGTTTAAATTATTTCTTTTAATAAAATATCATTTTTTTCAAGACACTACATAAAATTTATTTGATACCTGTCTCGGATTTGTTAAATCATAAAATTTACAAAAAAAAATTATAATAATAAATAAAATACACCCAAAAATAAATTTTATATTTATTCATCATACATTTAAATGATATTCCTTTGATTGTATTAGTTTAAATATTGACACCTATTAAATAAAATACTTCCTATACCTATGAATAAATTTTATATTTTTATGACACTTAATGTGTCTCTTA